AGCTCTATACGGTCTTCAGCGTGACACGCGGACCGCTCTAGGATGATCGATACCAGAGCGGGTTCTTTCAGTGGCGAGTCTTGCGCCGCACAATGCCCGTATTCTGATGTAAATCTAATGTAAAGATCCCAGAGGAGAAGCACAGGAGCCGGCCTTTAGACAATCACACACAGTCACCACCCATTCTAATGCTAATCCAATACACGGGCTATATCAAATGTGTTGTCAGGAGGAATGCTGATGTAAGCAGGAAGCCAGGGAAAGGACAAGGGAGTGGGACGGCGAGAGGACAAGGGAGAGGACCATGGAGTGGTATGGGGAGAGGACCATGGAGAGGGCCAGGAAGAGGACCAGGAAGAGGACCACAGGAAGGACCAGGGAGAGGACCATGAAGAGGGCCAGTGGGAGGGACCAGGGAGCGAGATGAGGAGAGAGCCAGGGAGAGGGCGACAGAGAGGACCAGGAAGCAGGATGGGGAGACGACCAGGGAGCGGGATGGGGGAGAGGCACAGGCAGGCCGCCACGGGGGGGTTTTGTGACTAAGCGTCTACTGCACAGGAGTGAAGGGGCTGCAGACGGGCGGCTGGTAATACGGCAAAGACAAAGACAGTGGGACAATGAGCTGGACACGGGCTGAGAGTGATGAGAGGTGACGAGACAGGAGTGAGGAGTGAGGAGGGAGGAGGGGTACGGATATGGGGAGGGGGGACATGTGTGTTTGAGGAGCACGCTTATCAGGAACACATAAGAAGACTGTTGCAGAGTGGATCTGGTGATGTTGTTTGACTATGAATGCATTTCAATGTCAGACAAACGCACTGACAGTAGCTCAGTTGGTAGAGCACCGGCCTTTGAGCCTGAAGGTTGTGGGTTCGAGCCCACCGTAAGACCTACTTCACAACTCCCACTGATGACTGCTGTCGTTGTGTCCTTGGGCAAGACACTTAACCCCCCAGCTCCTGTGGACTCACCACCTGCAGGAGGATCAGTGAGGGGCTGGTGCTCTGTGGACTGGGTGGCATCTCTGGCCACCCCCCCAACCCAGAAATGGATTAAGGGGAAGAAAATGGATGGATGGATGGACAAACGCACTGTATTCGTACAGTGGGGCACACACATGTTTAGTCAGCGAGCAATGGTGCAAGTACTCCCTCTTGATAAGAAAAAAATCTATAGAAAATAACATTTACAGATTGTGCTGGACAAAAAATATTTAAATACTTATATCCTCTTTGTTGGCAATGAAAAAAGTAAAATATCTTCACAAGGTTTTGAAGAAGATGTGCCAAGTCTGGGATCGCGTCTTTAATTCAGACAGAAGACATGTTTTATTGTCGATGGTAGAGACAGCACGAACAAAGCACACAAGCACAGATACAATAGAATGCAAGTGTATTATACAGAGCGGAGGCATGGAGACCTCCAATCAGCAGCTTCCACGGTGCCATGTAGCTTGGCCTTCAGATAGACAAAACAAGGGAAAAGTACTGGCTTCTGCACATTGATAGAATGATGAGTTTAACTTTAACAAAAGTTGCTTCAAAGTGTTATGAAATCTCACAGTTTTCACTCAATATTGCTGGTATTTTTGCCTATTCCTCCACACAGATATTGTCTAGTGAAATTTTGGGGCTGTCGCAAGACAGACTTTAAACTCCCTCCACAGTTTTTTTTGGGGTTGAAATGAGACTGACACTGGATAGGCCACTCAAAGAATATTTTCTGTATAATTTTATTACATTTTGTCACTCATAGTCTATGGGTACTGAAAAATACCTTTTTCTCACAGTACCATCTACCATCTGTATATGGATTTTCAATCATTACCACATATTCATTTAACGTTCAGTAAAAAAAGAAGAAAAAAAAAACCATAACAAAGAAAACAACAAGTCCAGGCAAACAACAGCGAGTGCACAGAGGAGACTGGTTTAAAACATGGAGGAGTCAGGCTTGAAATCAGAGACCGCATCATCAGCGCACGGGGCACGGAAACAACTCAAGTTGGCCAATGCACTCATATCATTAGCATAAGCTAAACTTAGCTTTTTTATAGGGTGTGCACATATGTGTGTGTGTGTGTGTGTCTATTCGCGCATGCAAAGTACTTTAGGCACCCACTATGGATCTGGCACCCACTAGTATCTCAAAAGAGAATAAATGTCCTTAAATTAAAGTACATTTTGAATGCGCTGGAAAACGGCTGCAAGTCCTAAGTAGCTCTGAAACAGTTGTTGTTTTGTGCTTTTGAATTTTCATTTTTATAGCTTTTTTCTACCTGAGATGTTGCTGCAGTACAGTGTTCATGGTTTTGCTCTGGTCAAGACAGGAGCAGAGAAGATTCATGGTCCGAACCAAGCAGATCAGGTGAAAATCTACTGGAGAAATGCAAATGCTTTGAAAAATACAAATGAAGCATTTAACATTTTACTTTGGACTAGAGCAGAGAAAATGGTCCGATTCAAGCGGCTACTCCCCCTGGTGACCTGTCCTGCTCCACCCAGAGGCTACTCCGCCTCTTCTGCTGTGACCTGAAGGGCTGTTACTGATTATTACTATTTTTTACTTTTTTGTAACCTGTGCACAATAAATGCACCTCTGAAGCTGGACTACGGAGCCTCAGGAGGTGTCAACTAAACGCGCTAAATTAAACCTTGGGTACGTACATTTTCCCTTGCATTAACAACTCATGTTGGTAAATGGTTGTGAGCAAATCAAACAGATGTAAAGACATTCTGCATTTCAGACTTTTTTAAAATGTCCCTCATCTGTAACAAACAATAGTTTTGGTCTGAGTCTAAACAGAAAGACAATGTTAATCATGTTAATGCCATTTTATATGGATTTATTGTTGCTGTAACAAACACAGTACTTATTATAATTGATCTTTCCATTCAAACAACCATTTACAGAAAGATATGGCCTAATTTTTCCGATAGTTCGAAATGCGATTAATCACGATTAATACATTTTCAAGCCGTAATTACAGTAACTTGATTATATATGTTAATCGTTTGACAGGCCGTATTATAATTGAAAGTATTCTAAGTATTCAGAATAAAGTTAAATAAACGGAATACTATACAAAATACATTTTAGGTAATTCAGTATTCTGGGACGGAATACATTTTCAAAGTATTCCACCCAACACTGTCTGTAATTAAGACAATTCCCAAGCCAAGGTAAGGCAAGTTTATTTGTATAGCACAATTTCATACACAAGGCAAATCAAACTGCTGAACAAAATAAGATAGCGCCCAGATGCGCCCAAAGCATCTGTACTTAGGCTAGCTCAAAATTTTTATTGTGTATCACCCTAAATCACAACAGAAGTTGTTTCAGGGGACTTTACAAAATGTGATATTTCTCAACAACAGATCAAAGAATAAAACAGTTCGCACACAAGAAATGCAATAATAACAAACACATAGGAGCCATTGGTCCATAGAGAGAAAAGTCACTCATCATCACTGCCCTGAGACCCTCCTGCAATGGCATGGAACTACTCAGAAACCCATTGGGGAAAAAAATTAGAAACTTCAGGGCCTATGTTGAGAGAGGGATGCTGTCCCTCAGACTGAGTGAGATCCAGGACTGAGGGTGTAGATCCAGGACTGAGGTAACTTTAAACATAGAGCTTCTTAAACCTAATGCATCATAATCACCTCTGAGAGATTTGGTCCGGTGCTTTGTGACCTTTTTTAGCAGGACTCAAGGTTCTTTGCATCTGATAAATGTGTAATTTGGTGCCAGCTCTGCGCACCTGACAATTCAGAAAGATGGACCCTCATTTGTATTCCAGGGTGCCCCTGTGCATTCCACTAGAAGGATGTCTCAGTAAAGTTAATAACAGTCATTTACGAGCCGCGTTTGGGAGATGCACTGACTGTCGGCTTAATAGAGCAGTACCACTCATCAGGTGAACCCTGACGCGCGCCGCTGAAGCCGTCAGACAAATGTGCAGAGGACCCGTTAAGTAACACAAGCCAGTTAAACCCCAGTGCTGCGTCCCTGTCACAGCTGCCCTTTGACCCGGCCTGACACTGCCCATATGGCGTTCACAATGGCGACGCGTCTGGCAGTGCGAGGCGGTGAAGCGGCAGGTACAACGGTCCAGGACGCATGTCGTCTCACGCGCAACTTTGATCCGCGGTCCCCCGAGACAGCGGTCTCATTAAGGCAGAGCCGAAGCCCCAAAACAAAACACGCAGAGGCTGAAGCTGGAGGCTACGCCAACTTTTGCGTTTGCCCAATTAGCAGCTGTGTAAAGGGCTGCTGATGCTGCAGACTAGCCTGTGCGGCTTTGTTAAAGGATAATTGTTTTTTTTTTTTATTGATACAAATGAGTGGAAGATATGGAGGAAGCTGTTATTTTGCAGATTTGAGGATTACCAGGTATAAATGATTGGTTACAATTTCAGTACAAAAAACTAGTTTGTTCTTTGGGAAAATAAAATGAAAATGATAATTTTCTATTTTCAAGGCAACAGTACAAGCTTCAGCAGCAGGTTTGTTTCATCAATAATAACTGTACACAGTATAAATATAAAGAGCGCTTTTCAGGACACCCAAAGATGCTTTACAAAGGGACAGAAGTTTTGCCCACTCCACACTTCCACAGACAACACATTTGAGCTCATCAGCATCACTTCAGCTGTTCGCACACTAACCCTCCTCCTCCACGTCACGCCTCTTCAGTGTAGAAACGTCATATTCCTGAGGCAGAACCAAGCCCCAGTGATCCAAGATGGGTTAGGGTTTTTTTCAAATCAATGGCTTGTGCTCAGTTGCGCATGGGACATACATGAGGGCCAAAAGTTCTCTGTCAGCTGAGGTCGAGCTGTTTTAGTTTATAATGAGTTCTATGGGACATTTTTCCAGGTAGCACATGTGATTTTAGTCTGCAGTACTGTGGGCGCCCCCTGTGCCTGTTGGTGGGACAGCTATAAGCTATTAAAAACCTATCCAGATATCATTATAGATCCATGAGCAGAACTCACCTCCCAGTGGCTGAAGACCAGCTGAGGACTTGCCAGGCCGCTGGTTCTTTTGCGGATCTCGTCTGCGAAGCCAAAACTCTCTGCGACCGGAAGAATGGCTTTAATGATGAAGACGTCGGTGCCCTCCTTCATCTCTTCCTGCATCACACGGCCTTCTCGCTTCCCCAGCACGCCATACACCCGCCCTGGAGTCACACAAATATTTAGGGTCATATTTATCCAGCTTGTTCCAAGGGCTTCAAGTTCAGAAGGATTAGTGGATAAAGGAGCAGCAAAAACGACCAGCCATGTAACGGAAAATAATATTATTGGAGTATAGACGTTGCTTCTCCACATGATGAGGAGTCAGTTGAAGTGCTTTGGGCATATGGATAAAGCGGAAGAAAATGGTTGGATGGTGGACATAATGTGCGTATAACAGTAACATAAAGTTCAACGACATGAAACACCTCTGTCATGAGCTGCAGCCCAGAGCAAAGATTAATGTAGTTTTAATGACGGCTAAACTTTGAACTGTCAGAGCCTAAATACAGCAGCAAATGAAGGCACCGGTCACAGAGAAGAGGACATTACACTCATTAAAACAAGAAAACAATATAATAATAACACAAAATAATAATAATGGTGCATACGTAAAAAAAATCTTCTATGTGTCCTCTACAACAGGTCTCATGTACACATATATGTGTCCTCTATTACATATTTGACCTTTTCTGAACAACAGTTTAAACTGGAGTAAAAAATATACATAGTATATATATAAAAGTAAAAAATATACAGTATATATATATTTTGTACATATAAAAATACAGTGATCACAATTTTCAAGCAGATCCTCCAATCCAGAGCAGAATGGGGCTCACATTTGTGGGTTGCCAGTGAAAATTAGCCCGTCTGGGCTGGTGAACAAAATGCACAAACACATTTAAATGTTAACAACTACAAAAATAAGCCACACACAAAGTTTGCACTGATTCTACTTAGACCCCAGTAGGTGGAATACATCAGTAATCTGGGTTTAAGACCAACATGTGTAATGACTTTATTAGATCAGACCAGTGCATATGGCACACTGTCCCTTTAAGACTGTGTATGTTATTCCCTAGCACACATGAGCTTTCTCTTTTGTAGATTTTTATTCACAAAGAACGTAAACAATTTTATCCTTTGAAATTTGCAAATAGTGAATAACTAAAATCTACTGTGATTACTCTTGCAGCGCTACATACAGTGGAGGATGAGCTCAGGGGTAAGGATGATGTCATGGTCAGTATCAGGAAACTGGTGATGTCACCCTCAGTCGGGTCACATGATCGCACACACGACTCCAGCTCTGAGTCGTAAAGTGCTATTGATCTGCTGCTGTCGACGCCGCGTCCAGGGAACCCTCTCTCTCTCATTGTATCCAATAACAATCAGTCTTTCACAGAAATGATGCCACAATAATAACAGATTGTGGAATACCCTACATTACAGTGTTTGTTTAAAGCTTTAATTTTCATTAAGAGTATATTTTCTCAGCGTCCCAACAGAAAGAGTCTTGTAAAAAGTAAAAAGTAGTGAACAGTCAGACCACAACATGTGCCTTAATGTTTTTATAAAACATGGTACATCTTTTGTGTATCAAAGAACTCCGTGAGTCACAATTTGATGCTTTGGGCTGAGAGCTGATTGGCTAAATGAGTGTGGTCCTCTTTAATTCACTTTTCTGTCTGAAAAAGCTGATCTAAAGACGTGACAGAGGCCAAACATACATGTCTCGCTCTCTGGTCTCTCACTCTCTGGTCTCTCACTCTCTGGTCTCTCACTCTCTGGTCTCACTCTCTGGTCTCACTCTCTGGTCTCACTCTCTGGTCTCACTCTCTGGTCTCACTCTCTGGTCTCACTCTCTGGTCTCACCTCTCTGGTGTCTCACTCTCTGGTCTCACTCTCTGGTCTCACTCTCTGGTCTCACTCTCTGGTCTCACTCTCTGGTCTCACTCTCTGGTCTCACTCTGGTCTACTCTCCTGGTCTCACTCCTGGTCTCACTCTCTGGTCTCACTCTCTGGTCTCACTTGGTCTCACTCTCTCTCTGGTCTCACTCTCTGGTCTCACTCTCTGGTCTCACTCTCTGGTCTCACTCTCTGGTCTCACTCTCTGGTCTCTCTCTCTGGTCTCTCTCTCTGGTCTCTCTCTCTGGTTTCTCTCTCTGGTTTTTCTCTCTGGTCTCTGTCTCTCACTCTCTGGTCTCTCTCTCTGGTCTTTGTGTCTTGTCTCTCTTTCTGGTTTTGACTGATGGAGACTTAACAGCTCATTAAGCAGTGTTACAAGCCTGCAATAAAGTGAAGGCCATAATGTACAGCGAGTGGACGATGGCAGTGAGAGAAATGTAGTGTAAAAGTGTGACCCGATTCTTCTTTCATAAAATCATTTCGCCTCGCCTTCCTTCACTCTAACTAATGGCGAAGACACACATTGACCTGAGCCACACTGAGCTTACAAATCAGATGAGCTAATGCAGTGAGCTCAGACCGAGGGTATAAATGTTTAAATGAATGTTATCCTGTTGTGAGTGAAAAGCACTTTAGAGTCAAGTCATTTCCGCGTCGGTCCAATGAACATCTATGACTCAGGCGACTAGAGGGAGTCGTGCCCAGTGCTGCTACTCCTTATCGGAAATGTATAAGGCACCATATAATGATTAAGTAATTTGTCGAGGAGTCCAGGAGTCTGCAAGTTTTCCACCGTGAAGTAATTCTGTGCACAAAGACACGTGACAGAGGCCAAAAAACACATCCAGCTCTTGCTCTGGTCTCTATCTCACTGGTCTGTATCTCTCTGGTCTGTATCTGTATCTCTCTGGTTTCGATCTCTCTGGTTTCGATCTCTCTGGTTTCGATCTCTCTGGTTTCGATCTCTGGTCTGTATCTCTCTGGCCTGTATCTCTCTGTGGTCTCTCTCTGGTCTCTCCCTCTGGTCTCTCCCTCTGGTCTCTCCCTCTGGTCTCTCCCTCTGGTCTCTCCCTCCGATCACCTCATTGTATATTGTTTGTATATAGTAATTGTAACTCTATTTTAAACGTATTCCTTAGAAGTGCTTTTTATTCTTTATATTTTCATTATGCCTTCTCTACCCTTACCTCTCTTTCTGACTGTTGTACTGAGCCAAAGCAAATTCCAAGTCTGTGACTTCCTGTTACTTACATGGGAATAAAAATGATTCTGATTCTACCATGAGAATGTCGTTTTTGTATTAATACTTAAACCCTACCAGGTGGAGTCTAAAAATAATAAGTTACAGAAAGGAATGGGGAAGCATTTAGACTGACACTAATTGGAACTCAAGTCCACCAAGTGGCAGATCCACACCCGGTCAGGGAGAGCAAGGCTCCTCTACTTGGTGGGTCTGTTTGAGGATATCTGGAAATCTCAGCTCTCTTTGTTTTGATGTGCACAGATTCATATTTGAAAGAGAACTGTGTATGTTTTATGTTATAAGATGAATACATATATGGTTCACAAGACCCGCTAATTTCTATGGTAAATGTCAAGAATGATTTTGATCAGAACAGTTTTTAGTAAAATTATCTTTTGTCTGCACCTGAGAACTGGTCACCCCAGGCCCAGACATATGGGCCTGGCCTTCAGTGCTGGATCTAAAGCCTCAGTCCTGGATCTACAACCTCAGTCCACAATCTAAAGCCTGTCCGTCCGTAGGAGCAGGAAAGTGAGAAACCTCAAGGATGTCCATATTGCGAGCCCTCTCTCAATATGGACCTCCTTGAGATTTTCTTTTTTCCAACTGGGTTTCTGAGTGGCTCCTCTCTGATGCAGGAGGGTCTAAGCCAGTGTTTTTCAACCACTGTGCCGTATGATATTGTCTGGTGTGCCGTGAGAAATTCGTCTACTTTGTCTAAAAATAGCTGCATTCGCTGTTGACGAGCGGTGACTTGTTTTGAACTGTGAGTAACCATGTAATACTTTTTCAAATCAGTAGATGGCAGCAGATAGCTAAGTACTTTGAAACTGAAAAATTGGATGCGACCACTGGCTGTAACAGGTCAGCATTTTGGCGAGAAAGGTAAAATTGGATGCGACCAACAAATGTGGGAGGGAGCGAGACAAGAGCTTTGTGGCGAGTGAGAAGTGAAAGTGATAGAGACGTTTTTGAAAATGAATTATGCCGTTTCGGAACAGGATTAACATCCTCCGCTCTGCCCCGGGGCAGCTGTGGCCGCGTTGTAGTGGTTTAACTATGAAATGTACCATTTTTGTACAACAGCTCTCGCGAACGCACTTCTGAACTGGGTACCGAGCGCAGACCATAGTCGAGTGGACAGAACCACAGACATGCGGACCGGACAGAACCATGGACTCGCGCGTTCAGGACCTCCCGTGTCCCTCATCCAAAACTCCTGAATTTAAAGCTCGGATACCAAAATGTTTCCCATGCACTAACAATGCATGTTCTTTGTGTGAGTTATTATTTGACTATTTGGGCAGAGAGTGGATTTTCTTAGTTTTTTTCCACACAGTTAGTGCCACTTTATTCCCAAACTCTTGTTAATTCTATCGAGAAATATTAAATAAAGCTTAATGTCAAGGCCTGGACTTAAGCATTTTGATGAGAATAACTGTATATCGTGAATATAGGCTGCAGAGTATACTGTATACATTATAAGATAAGATATACTTTATATATCACACAGAGTATGTACAGTATATATTTTTTTACATTAGTACTGTATACATTTTTACATTTTCTCCTGGAGGTGTGCCGCAAGATTTTTTCAGTGAAAAAAGTGTGCCTTGGCTCAAAAAAGGTTGAAAAACACTGGTCTAAGGTGATGATCTGGGAAATTTCTGCACATTAATTAACATTTTTGGTGGTTATCTTGCTATCCACAAATGGGCAACAACTAATTCTCTGATCAGTAACTTTGTAAAGTAAAAGTTAGGGTGATTCACAAACACTTTGAATCAAAGTGAATGTGGCTTAGACATAAAGCCGTTTTTATATATTTACCCATTTTCTTGTTTTTAGTTCTCCTCCATCTTTCATAATGTTTTAAAGCTACCGCTATGACTCAAAAGATTTAAGACGTGTGACTAAAATGTCAATAGCTCTTTGAAGCAATGAACAACATTTTACAATTTTGAATCAACATCAACTGGTTCTATTTTTGTCCTGTGTGTTTTTCAACAACATTGGACTTGGAGTAGAGCTCAAAAAGCCGGTCTGTGACAGCACCAACGTGGCCCTGGCTCTGCAGACGGTTGCACACAGCTCAGTGCAGTGTGATTAATCGACCATAAACACAGCCTGAAGCTCTCACCACTGAGCTGATTATGACCTGCACATTGTATGGGAGAAAGGCGTTCAAAGACCAGCATGCATCTGTGCTCCCAGCCAACACACACAGAAGCACATAAGCATGACCATAAACCAGTCCAGGCTTTATACCCCCTGGTTTTATTCAAAGCAAAATAACTTCATATTATGTGATTTAACATGGACCAAAATATGAAATAGGAACATCAGGCCTTCTCTGGGCAGGCCCCGGGACCCGGCAACGGATAATGTGGAAGATAATTGTTGGATAGTGTGTGTTAAGAGTGGTCCTTTCTTTTACAAAATTCTGTCTGAAAAGCTGATTTAAAGATGTGACTGGAATACATGCATCTCTCTTTCTAGTCTTTCTCTGTGTGTTCTCTCTCTGGTCTCTCACTGTGGTCTGTCTGTGTGGTTTCTCTGTTGTCTCTCTCTGGTCTCCCTGTGTGGTCTCTCTGTGGTCTCTCTCTCTGGGTTCTCTCTGTGGTCTCTCTCTGGTCTCTCTCTGTGTGGTCTCTATGTGGTCTCTCTGTGGTCTCTCTCTCTGGTCTCTCTCTGATCTGGGTATGTGGTCTCTCTGTGGTCTCTCTCTCTGGGTCTTCTCTCTGGGTTCTCTCTATGTGGTCTCTCTGTGTGGTCTCTCTCTCTAGGTTCTCTCTGTGGTCTCTCTCACTGGGTTCTCTCTCTGGGTTCTCTCTGTGGTCTCTCTCTGGTCTCTCTCTGTGTGGTCTCTATGTGGTCTCTCTGTGGTCTCTCTCTCTGGTCTCTCTCTATGTGGTCTCTCTGTGTGGTCTCTCTCTCTAGGTTCTCTCTGTGGTCTCTCTCACTGGGTTCTCTCTCTGGGTTCTCTATGTGGTCTCTCTCTCTGGGTTCTCTCTGTTGTCTCTCTCTCTGGTAACCCATTGGCCATGCTCTGGATCGCAGTTTTATGATGCTGTGTTCCAGTTTCTGCCAATATCGAGCAACGTTGTCATTTTTGACGTTCTGAAATATCAAATGAAAGTGATTCTCAATATCATTTTAAAGGTATATAGGAGGATTTTCTACTTCTGGGTGGATTATCAAGACTATTGGTCCTCCTAATCATTCTGGTGACACGTGCTCATCAAACAAGACCAGAACGCTTGCCGAGCACAAAAGGGGACAGTTCCTTCCTAAAATTTGGGAAAATCCTCCTAAATACCTTTGAGTGAGATTTGTGGTGGTGATCTTCCTGCTCCCTTTGGACCAACGTCTCGTATCTACTGTATATGTAATTATTGCATTTCCTGTGTTCAAACTGTTTGATTCGCTAATCTGTTGTTGGTGAATGAACTATGTAAAGTGCTCCGAGACGACTGCTGTTGTGGTTGGTGGTAAATTGAATGAAATGGACAAGAATAATGGACTTCTTTAAACATGAATTATGAGACTTTACTAAGATTGAGAATGTTTACCACATTTTCATATTTTAGATCAGTCAAACACTGCCATCTACTGGTTGTAGAGTGTGTTATATGTTATGTTACTGTTTAATAAAAGCCCAACATGACGCAGTGTAATAGAAATCATTCAAAATATCACTTGGAGAAACCCCTGAACATAATAAGAATGAGTATTAAAAAGTAACATTCTGACAGACAAGAGACATTCTCAATCAATGTAGATGGAGAGTTTTTTGTATAAGGATATTTCCAAGCTGTTGGAACAAACACCCATTTATTTGTTCATTTGGAAGGGAAGATAGTTGCTATTTGTGTATTGCCCTAAATCACATAAGCTCGGAGGACTTTACAAAGTTGCGGATTCGAGAACAACAGATTAGAGAATCAAACAGTTCGAACACAGGAAATGCAATAAAAACAAACACTTAGGAGCCATTGGCCCATAAGGGGCAGATGACCAATGTCCATAAATGTTACTAGATGTCCATAATAATCCTTAAATGTCCTGGATCATCACCATTGTCCTTAGACCCACCTGCATCGGCAAGGAACAAATCAGTTTGAACACAGGAAATGCAATAATAACCAACACATAGAAGCCATTGATCCATAGACCACTGTCCATAAATGTTCATAAATGGTGCTACATTTCCCGGACCATCTCTGTCCATAAACGAAAACAATATAACACGATAGACACGTGTTCGATATCAATAGAAAATGGGGTCGAGAGAATGTTCGATAGTTTAACTTTGGTAAAGTTCGGTACGTAAAGCAGAGTTAGAAGCGCGCTGCATTCTGGGGGACGTAGGCAGAGGCTTCTCGACCTATCGCGGCCGAGCATGAACCGCGTGGCATTCTGGGAAATGAAAAAAAAAAATTATACTACTTTTTAGTGGGAGGGGAATAGGAGCAGATATGGGGAGAACATGCAAATTCCACTCAGAAAGGCCCGCTCTAGAGGTGGAATAGAACCCAGGGCCTTGGTTCTAGAAGATGTAAATATAATGTAAGATAAGTAATTGACAAAGTTGCATTGAAATCTCTCGTCAGTGAAGCCTCCTCGCAGAAAAGACCAGTGCAATGTCCATAAACACATTTCCACCATAAGTGCAACCATAACAATACAATAATATCCTTCTAAAACAACAGCTATGCACCATAAAAGAGAAAATATTTGTGACTTTTTCCATCTACCAGTCAGGAGCTATGGACTATTTCCTTCAACCACGCCAGTTCACAAACATGCTTTCTCAAAGGAAGCGAGTCAGACATTATATACTTCAAAATGGTCGATTGCAGTCAGGGTCAATAATGTGTCTTCAATGTACTTCTCAGTTCAAAGTAAGATGAAAAATACTAAGGTTACAGGCTCCTTTCTATGTAATTTCAGTATCTTGCTCTACTCCTACTGACGTTCTCTGTTGATGGTCCGAGCCTCTGCTTCCAGATTATTATTATATATTATATAATATTACTATTCCTACATTGCCTCAGTCCGTTATATGATGTACCCTTTTGCAGTGGTCACATATTGCTGATTTGAGGTCTTCCTGTTTTGCTATTCTCTTAGTTGATCTTGTTAGTTGCGCCACCGTGTTTTTTCTTTAACATTCCTTCCTCTTCCTGTTTCTCCGATATGTTTTATTGCAGGATCTACATTATTGGACATTTTCTCGAGTTCTATCTTGTCTTTTGAGTGTCTTTGAGATGATTCTTCAGAGGTGACAAAAAGGCCGTCACTTGTTCCAATGAAAGTCTACAGAGCGAAGCAGTAAAACTTTTTTTCCCCCAACACCAGTTCAAAGGGTTCAGCTCACAGCCCAGGAGCATTGGAAGTGGATACGCTGTGTTTCCTAAAGTTAAATAAACACGGAGCGCATTGGTCGTCCTGCTGTGGAGGTTTAATTCAGGAAATAAAAACAAAGGATCTCCTGGTGTTTTGTCTCTCGCACACTGGGCACAGCTCTGGTCTCATTAAACTGTCAGAATCAGGCATTATGTAATTTTCATTAGAACAACCGTATGGGGTCCGCCTTTAATCTCTGCTCTGTGGTTCACCTTAATAAGCACCTGACAAACCAAATTTATGAGCGTTTGGTGTAACCCTATACGAACACTGCAGAGCTTTAGAGGAGGCCGACCCCGCTCCTACACAGTACAGGTAATAGCACAGGTACTTCCAATAGGTAAAGTACTGGTACATGTGGATCATCACTGAACATGTGGATCCACCCAATATATATATATTTAGTTTGGAACCAATGACTCTTATGTGTTTATTACACAAGTTGACAGCCAAAAAATTGTCAGGGGTTTCTCAACTGATTTAGACTAATTTTGGTGTTCTAGTTTTGGTGTTCCGAATATCACATGCATTTTGCTCTATCAGGTCAACTTTTTGAGATACAGCCATAGTGTTACGGATTATGTACGTCTACGTTATTATGAATTCTGCTTATCAAATTTGATGGAGTAAATAAAAACTGAATGACTTTGGATACGTTGACTTTTATTTCTTGAGGAAAACGGAAAAAACGTCAAGGGTTTTTCAACTGATGATCCGCAGAAATTTGTTTTTTTACGAAAAATCGATTTAAAAAAATATTTCTGTAGCAAAAAATCCTGACCTGATTGAGCAAAACCAAGGTTATTTTTGGACTCCAGGAAAACCCTGGACTATTTTCAAAAAATATTTTTTTGTTACCCAGTGTTATTGCATTTCCTGTGTTCGAACTGTTTGATCTGGTTGCGAATCGACAACTATGTAAGTCCTCTGAGACGACTGCTGTTAGGGCTAACACAAATAAATTGCATTGAACAGTTCCAGTGTGTCTCACACTCGCACTCACCCAGCACCTCGGCGGTGGCCATGATCTCACACGTGTACATCGCTGCCATCAGCCTCTGGGGCTGGGCCTGGAACGCCTGTCGACACGCCTCTTTGGTCGCCGCTATGAGCTGGCCAGACACAGGGCCGTAGCAGTCTCCCTCAGCCCTGCGCCTGGCCTGACTCTCCCCTGGGCCTCCACTGTCCCCTGGTGCATCCTGGGATAAGAGGGAGTAATATATATAAAACAAGTTATACCAGGTCCTCAGAGTTTTGGGCTTATTCAAGAAAAAATTAAACGATGCAAACAATGACAAATGCAAATGAACCACATAATAATGCATTTCTGGAATATTTCTGAATATAACAATAGAGACGAGAGACTTTTCTCTGCTATGGTTCTATCATTACACTTCAGGTAGTGTATCTGTCTTTGAGAATAGACTTGAAAGCAGCTGTTTGTGTATACGTTTCTCCATGGCCTCGCACCAAAGTACAGTGTGACATTTTAGTGTCATATGAACCAACTCGGACTCTGAGGAGCTCAGGGACTGGCCTCCTGCTAGTGCCCAGAGTCAGGACTAAACATGGGGAGGCAGCATTCCAGACGTATGCGCCTGATATCTGAAACAGTCCAATACCTTTTGTATTTTGAATTTTGTATGGACTGTGCTAGACAAATATATGTGGAATCATTGATTAATCTGCAGAGAGGAAAGACAATTTAAGAATGATTTTAAGCAGTTACAAATGTCTGCAATTTGACTGTTTTCTATCATACTGAGGCACATTCCATGCAAACAATAACTTCTCTATGACAATAATCAGAAAAGTTGAGAGTACATGATTTATTATTGATGGCACCAGCTCAGCCGTACCTGAGACCTGGGTTCTTCTTCCATAGAGTCTAGGTGTGTGGGGGGGGCCAGCAGGTCCCAGCACTCCACAGAGAAGCAGACTCCCATCAGTGGCTCCTCGCACAAGGGACCAGACAGGGTGGCGAGCTGGAAGCCGCTGACGATGCTGTTGTCCAAGTCTCTGAGGGAGTTCTGGCTTCTGTCTGCAGAGCTCAGACACTGCCACACTGAAGGGCGCTGGTACGACTCCACACTGTTCAGAAGGATGTTCGGCCCATATCTGAAAGAGGAACAAGGAGAAATAACCACGAGGATTAACAGAGGGACAGGTATTTGTTATTGTTATAGCTATTCTTAACAATGGCACTTGTTCTTTGTCTAATTTCTTATCGCTCCTGGAAATGTTGTTAAAATCCGTCCATTACGTTTTGAGTTATGTTTTAACTAAAAAGCTAAGCAACATGAACAATGTGAACTAACCCAGATGAAAAAGGAAGTAATAAAGCATGGTTTTTGAATCAAATAGCAGCTGCCCTGGGGTGGACTACCTAAAGTTAGGCTGTCAGCCTGTGCCAACAAATCACAGCGTGAACCGAAGATATTGATCCGAACGGATCAATGATGATCTATTGCACTACTAGCTGACAATGAAAGACGTAAATCCTTCAGAAGAGGAATCTTTATATAATCATTGTATTATTATTTTCTAAGGGCCACTTCAGCAGATAGACAACACAGCAAGGTCAATCCTCCTCAGTGAAACCACGTCTACTCCAAGCCAAGCAAATGTATTTCAGAGGACAAGATTTCTAATTATCTCAAGTGCTTTTTCTTGTGTGTTTAATTAGTGGTAAACAGAATGTGATTGTATCTAAATCCCGTACATAATTTCCCTGTAAACAAAATTGGAAAAAAAAGTGTGCAGCAGTTACAATGTGATGCAGAGAAAAGTGCTTTTAATGAAATGCTGCAGGATTCTTGGAAAAACCAGCTGCCCCAACAGAACGGATGAATTCAACAAATTACAGCAGATTTGTCTGGTCGTAGCGCTGACTTTGGAGCTGTGTTTTGGAGCTGTGTTTTGGACAGTGTTGACCTTTTATTATTGTCTTTTTTTTAAATGCACTGAGAGAAGAAGTTGACCCAAATATGCAAATGTTGACACTGCTGTGGTTAAAGAAAGCACCGGGTTTGAAGGATTACCAGTGACAAAAAGCAGAAACAATAGACACAGGTTCTTTGTTTAAATACCTTCACTGTTCTCTCAAAAGCTTTAGTGATTGAGTTAATGCTTTAAATATCATGATTAGTGGTGGTTAGAAAAGGCTGTGGCAGGTTGTGCACATAGACAGTATGTAGATGGATAATGCAAAACCGCTACCTAGGGAAATGCTAATGGATGAAGTTTGGCTCCAACTCGCTCTGCCTGCTAATGACTTACATGTAAAAGTAAACTCCTCTAGCTCAGTAACCGTTTTTTGTGAAACACTCACCATTTTAAATCTGTGGTTTAGCGCTCGCTTTGATCCTGCTGTTTATATTGTGATTGTTCTCAAAATATTTCCTGAGTTTCACTTGTATCTGCCATGATTCACTAAATCCGTCTTCAGAATCTGCTAACCGGACATGACTGACCTGCGCGGCCCGAATGCCCAGATGTGCTCCACCACGTTCCTCCAGCGGTGCCCCTGCAGGAGATCCTCTAGACGCTGCTTCAAGTCTGCGACCTCCTCCAGCGTCCGCGGACTCACCTCCAGAGCGCGGCCTTCCCTCAGCGAAAGGTTCAGCTGCTCTAGGGTCCGGATCAGTTCTGCTCTGCTCTCCAGCAAACAGGTCACCTCTGAGGACAAGGACAGGGTCAAAAAAACCTCTGAGGGACAGGGGAAGGGTCAAAGGGACCTCTGAGAGAGGGTCCAGAAAAAGACCAAATGGAGAGAGAGACTAGAGAAATATCTGATGTAAAATGACCTATTTTGCAGCCTGTGCTTGCAGCCAGTAATGTTCAAATTTGGGGAAAAAACACATATTCTACAAATCTCTCTGGTTGTAGCATGGGGAGTTACAGGTGGACAACTTTTTATACCCTTAAAGGTATACAGGACGATGTTCGCGAATTTAAGGAAAGAAGCGCCCTCTCCACAGGGAACACATACTAAAACATATCACCAGAATTATTGTCAATTAGCAGAGGACCAATAGTCTAGATGATCCACCCGGAAGAAGACAATCCTCCTACAGTATATACCTTTAATTTAACAAAATATTTTATAAATTAGACTCAAACTAATCATCTCTGAGGAGTGGGGGACAACAAAGTCATAAAACCCTGATTGGACTAAATCCTTTTTCCAACAGGAACCAAAACCTTCGACAGAGTACGAGGTCGTGGAATACAGATGAAATGAATGAATGAGTCCTGTCTCACCCTGAGGCAGAGGGATGGCCCGGATGCTGACGGTGGCCAGTCTGTTGGGAGTGGTGAGAGTGACCAGACCAGTGGAGTCCACATGGGGCGTGTGGGAGCAACGGCTCTGAGACGAGTCCTCCTTCACCTTTACAGAATCAAACATCACAGAAGATCAAAGCAATGTGTTATTTCAAATCAAAGCGGGTCTCCAACCTGGTGGTGGATAACAGTACTGCAGGCTAAATAGGAAATGTTCTCGTAGTCTGGACCTCAATGTTAAGAAAAACAGCTCGTCCTTGACGACAGAGAACTACAGCTTTCATAACGGTTGCGTTCAGTGGATTTTAGTGTTTCTTGTCATCATCTTTTTTATTTCGAAATCCAGCCGTTTTCTAACTCATTGAGGTGAATGGACCGATATCACAGACAGACACAGAGAGAGGGAGAGAGAGAGAGAGACACCCACACATGCAGACAGAGGCAGAGGGAGAGGCAGACAGAGAAGACAGAGGTAGACAGAGAGACAGACAGAGGCAGAGAGAGAGACAGAGAGAGACAGAGAGAGAGACAGACAGAGGCAGAGAGAGAGACAGAGAGAGAGCCAGAGAGAGACAGAGAGAGAGACAGAGGCAGAGAGAGAGACAGAGAGACAGGCAGAGAGAGACAGAGAGACAGAGAGAGAGAGAGAGAGACACAGACAGAGAGAGAGAGAGACAGAGTTACAGAGAGACAGAGAGAGACAGAGAGAGAGAGACACAGACACACATTTAAACTGTAAATATATTTACTGGCCAGTTTAAATGGTGCAATTCCATAATTGTTGTAATTATCACTTTGTCAGGTTATATACACGTTTGTTCTCATGAGGGAAGCATATAAATCCTGTAGTGTTTGCATTTGGCTCACTCCACACTAAACTGTATCATTGTGTTACATTTTTGTCAATGACACGAAAAAGTCCCAAAATGTAGTTCATACATTTATTCTATTGTTGCTTGAAGTTAGATCAAGCAATGGTACAGTTTAGTGTGGAGTGATCCAATCCTGACCTGGTGAATAATGGCCACTTTGTGCTGCCGGCCCAGGTCCTCGTTCACCATGTCCACTTTGGGAGGACGCACCACCGTCTCCCTGAACGGGATAATGGGCTCCGAGGCACTGATCTCGATCTTAGCAAATCTGGGGGAAAAACAAACAAAGAACAGTTATGTCATTCTATCAGCAAAAAATATTTTAATAATATAACATTTTGATGTTAGAATACAGACAGAGCATGGAGGTGTTTCTAAAAGAGTGATATTAAAGCTGTCAGATGAGTGCATTTAGCTCTCACACCATCATCCATCATCAGGCCGCCTGCTTTCACTTGGAAACTGGTAAAGTGCCAAAAGAAGACTTTCATATGTTTTGAATGAGTCTCTATTCACAGTTCAAACATGAGGAGACTTGAATAAACAGTGTCAGGGTTAGAAAATGGCCTTTATCGGAAATGATCATAGTTTGTAGCAAACCGGAGGGAGAGAGAGAGATCAGAGAGTGAGAAAGAGAGACCAAAGAGGGAGAGACCAGAGACAGAGAGAACACAGAGAGACTAGAGAGAGAGACTAGAGAGTGAGAGAGAGAGAGAGAGAGGACAAATAGCTAAATAGTCATTTCACAATAGGATTATTCCTCTAAGCTCACTGTTCTGGATCTAAATGTTTAATCTAGAGCCAGAACAATGTTGCAGCTTGACAGAATGGTTGGTTTGATGTGTGTGTGTGCGTTTTGTGTGTGTATTGTGTTGTGTGGTGTGTGTGAGTGTGTGATACAGTTTGAACAATAGCAGTGAGTGGGAGGACCAGGAGAGACGGACCAAGAACAGTCTGGCACGGCTCACTCCTCACAGACCAGCAGCCAAGACGGAAATGTAAGGTAACATCTCCCATAATGAAGGGAAGCAGCTGAAATCAGGTCAGAGAGAAAGAGACAGACACCAAACATTATGCAAACTATATTGGCATTTTTGTTAAGTGGAGAGTTCAACATGTTTAAAGATTTGCCAATGGAACGAGCATTTATAGTCTGATTTCAAGTACAATACCGTATTTCAAGTAAGACATTACTGGTCTTTTTGATATTATAATTAAAACAAGACATGTTGTACTGGCCTTATTGGATAATCTTGTTTTAAACCTAAAATCACCAACATCCCAAATCCAGTATTTTTTGTTTTTCTTCAGTAACATTTTGCAAAGATTTCTTGTATTGATATAAGCATCTCTTATCAAGTTTCGGGGATCCAGCTTTTTACTCCAAAAAAAAGTTATAATAATAATTTAGAATGTCAAACAATGAATGCATATTCTTTGTTGCTGTAAAAAAAGAGCAAGAGAGAGGGACAGAGAGACAGAGAGACCAGAAAGAGAAAACAGAAAAAGAGAGAGAGACCAGATAGAGACCAGGGAGAGGGCAGAGACCAGAAAGAGAGCGACAGAGAGAGACAGAGACACTAGAGAGACAAATGCTCAGCTGCTTTAATTTAAAACGAAAAACTTGTGACTTTATTGAATCCAAAAACAATTCCCACTTCCACTTATTCCCCTCAGGACTTGGCCCCAAACAACACAACAGTGTAATCAGTGTAACGTGTATAATGTGTTTAAGTGTGTTATGTGTGCATACTGTGTGCATGTCCAGAAAGTCTCCCGCTTCGGCTCTCATACAAACAGTCACACACTCTTGTTGTGATGTCACACAACAGACAGATTACTCTTTCAGCTTCAGCTCTGTTCCGGCTGCATCTGCTTCACATTAGCCGCGTTTCTCGCTCTGACCCATCTGCCCTGTCGGCTCAGCGTCCTGCTCACCCTGAGGTCAGTGGGTCATTCCTCAAACCCCTCCACAGACCAGACTGTGCACATGCTAAACTAGGGCTACCACTTCTGTCAGTTAAAGCCGGGGTACCTAACCTTTTGACCCATAAATAATGCATGTAGTCTGTCCCAACAGAAAAAAAGAACAAGAGTAAAGAACAGTGTGCTGTCTTCATCTCATTCGAAAATGTGTCGTCTCTCTTTTTCTGGTTCAAATCAATTCAATGTATTCTTATAGCCCTAAATCACAACAGTAATTACCTCAAACTGTTGAAATCGCCAACACAGATAAGAGAATCAAACAGTTAAAACACACAAAAAAGAGAACACACAGGTATTGGTTCATAGGGGAGTTGACCTGTGTTGATGTCCATAAATGTTGAGTGTCCTGGATCATCACCACAGTCCTTCTTGTTAGACACTAACTGTCCAACAGACCCTCCTGCATCGGCAAGGAAAAACTCTAAAAACCCAGTGGGGAAAAAGAGAGAAACCCAAGGGAGAACCACGTTGAGAGAAGGATTCGTTCCTACGGACAGGCAGGCTATAGATCCCTCTCTGGTCTCTCTCTCTGGCCCCCCTCTCGTCTCCCTCCTTGGTCTCTCTCTCTCTGGTCTCTCTCTCTGGCCCCCCTATCGTCTCCCTCCTTGGTCTCTCTCTCTCTGGTCTCTCTCTCTGGTCCCTCTCTCATTGCATTTTGGGTCGGGCATGTTTTCTTGGGTGTTACACGTCACCAACAAGTTTGACTTTGACTTTAAGATTCAATTCAATTCAATGTTATTTTATATTTGCATCGTCCTAACTCCCAACTCACTGATAAAATATTTAAACCTGGAATTATAGCACTGTTTTGTTTAGTTTACCAGGTAATAACGTATAGTATATATATAGTATATAGTAACGCCCTAAATCACAAAGTTGTTGATTCTCCAACACGGAACACAGAACAGAGAATCAAACAGTTCAAACACAGAGAGCCATGTGTCCATAAGAGGCAGATGATTAATGTTCATAAACGTTGTTAAATATCCTGGATCACCACCACTGTCCTCAAAGTGAGAAACCTCAAGGAGGTCCATATTGAGAGAGGGATCCGCTTCCATGGACAGACAAGCTGTAGATCCAGGACTGAGGCTGTAGATTCAGGACTGAGGCTGTAGATTCAGGACTGAGGCTGTAGATCCAGGACCGAGGCTGTAGATCCAGGACTGAGACTGTAGATCCAGGACCAAGGCTGTAGATCCAGGACTGAGGCTGTAGATCCAGGACTGAGGCTGTAGATCCAGGACTGAGGCTGTAGATCCAGGACTGAGGCTGTAGATCCAGGACCAAGGCTGTAGATCCAGGACTGAGGCTGTAGATCCAGGACTGAGGCTGTAGATCCAGGACCGAGGCTGTAGATCCAGGACCGAGGCTGTAGATCCAGGACCGAGGCTATAGATCCAGGACCGAGGCTGTAGATCCAGGACTGAGACTGTAGATCCAGGACCGAGGCTGTAGATCCAGGACCAAGGCTGTAGATCCAGGACCGAGGCTGTAGATCCAGGACTGAGGCATAAACTCAACCAGACTTTCAGACAGCCAAGAGTCAGAGATGATGACAGTTCTGATCCAATCCAGTTATAACATTGGACATAGCGCAGGCCAAACCAACTGACAGCCCTATCCATCTCACACAAATCAATTAGCTCAATGCCAACTGTAGCCAGGAGACGGGAGCAGAGACAGAGGCCGACAGGCAGGTGAGAACCAAGAGGTAGGTGAGACATGGATTAATATAAAGAGCTGAGAGGGCACGCCTTTTTATGAGACACTTTCAAACATACAATTGCAGAAGGATAATTGGAAATAATAACAATTGGACTCAGGAATAGGCCATGAATTCACTTTAGAAAGGCATTATTTGTATCAGAATGTGGAAACAGAAGAAGCTAAAATCATGTATTTGAGAAAACGTTTACAACAGCAACAAAAGCAAGGTCATTGCCTTGCAACAATAAGGTCCTGAATTTTAGGTAAATAGCTTCTCCTCTCTTCAGATAGACCAGAGATTGAGACCAGTGACAGAGAACAGAGGGAGAGACCAGAGGGAGAGGACAGAGAGAGACAGGGTCAAAAATTGTCAAACTCCTTTGACTTTTTGACATATATTTTTGTAGGTTAGGATTCAATCACAACTGGGCCAAGAAAGAAAAACACGTGTCATAGTAAAAAAAAAGATTTAGAAATAAGAGAAAGACCAGAGAGAGAGACCAGCAAGGGAGACCAGCGAGAGAGACCAGCAATAGAGACCAGATTATACTAGTTTTAAAGGAATAGTTCACCGTTTTTACATACTGACATATGTTCTTACCTTACCTTAGACTAGTTAATACGTACCTGTCTGGTCTTAGTCCGTGCGCTCTGTCATGCAAACGGAGCAAAAACGGGAGCACAAACGCAGCCTCCTCTGTATACTGTGTAGGACCAAAAGGTAGCTCCCGCTAGAAGCTACCAAACTCTTCCAAGTGTTTCCTATTAAATGTATATAGTTACGTGACGTGTTACACTGCAAAGTATAGTAACACAGAAATGTAACAGTCGATTTTCTCAGCGGATAAAACGGGTACTATATTGTGAGGCGTAGTAATCTGAGGAGCGCTACGTCCGCGCACTAACTTCTCTCCGGAGACTTCTCTCTCGCTGCTACTGTGTGTACTACAAGTCACGCTGCTTCTATTGACGGAAGTGAGCGAGAGAGAAGTCTCCGGAGAGAAGTTAGTGCGCGGGCGTAGCGCTCCTCAGATTACTACGCCTCACAATATAGTACCCGTTTTATCCGCTGAGAAAATCGACTGTTACATTGCTCCGTTTGCATGACAGAGCGCACGGACTAAGACCAGACAGGTACGTATTAACTAGTCTAAGGTAAGGTAAGAACATATGTCAGTATGTAAAAACGGTGAACTATTCCTTTAATAGAGATGAGTATCTCTCTCTTTTTTTTCCTAATGGCAGCTTGACTTCCTCCCGTGATGCTGTGTATTTACAGCTCAGGAGCCCTTACAGACAAACTCAATCATCAATCAGGAATCCTAATATAATCTCTGCTTCCTGGTGCATTTAAATGTGCAGCTCCAGACAGAAGTGGATAATGGGATCATGGAGGCTCCTGTGATGTCACCATGACCTCATTCTGGAGGCTCAGGGGCGGGCGCCAGGCCAAACTCCTCCTGTATCTAACATCAAGACAAAAAATTCGGTATTTTTGCTGTTTTTATTCTCCAAATCAATAAATATATAGTTTTACTTGTTTAACTCAATCTCACTAAAGCAGGTTTTTGA